TCTACCCTTACCCAGGTCCTGGGGATCAAATGCTTTCACTGCAGCAATCTCACCAACCTCCTTTTTGCTCTTAAGGGAAATGCACTGTCTTAGAGATGCTAGAAAAATTTTTCCGTTGAAACATCTTTTTTTTTCTTTTTGTGGCAGTGTTGGGTAGAACCCAGGACCTTGACTACATGCTAAACAAGTGCTTTAACACTAGATTACGCCCTCAACCCCAAAAGATAAACTTTTGGCTGGGGCCAAGTGTTTATCTAGGTGTGTGTCTACCAAACTTGGCCGTCTGGGGCCAAGTGTTTATCTAGGTGTGTGTGTACCAAACTTGGCTGTCTTTGCTGTTGACCATACTGGGTGTCACCTACAAGGGTGTGTGCTAGCTCAGCTTGTCTGTCTTTGATACTGACCAGCAACAGCACTTGATTGAGCTCATCCGTCAACGTGAGACCGAAGCAGCTTTGGAGTTCGCCCAGACGCAACTGGCGGAGCAGGGTGAGGAGAGCAGAGAGTGCCTCACAGAAATGGAGCGCACGCTGGCCTTGTTGGCATTTGACAGTCCTGAGGAGTCACCTTTTGGAGACCTTCTCCACATGATGCAGAGGCAAAAGGTAAAAGGCTGGTAAGGGAAGAGCTGTGTTCATGGACACTCAGGGGACCTGTGTAAAGATGATACACATGCTACACTTGTGATGGGGTGAGACACAGAGCCCTGGGTGAGGGTACTTCAGTAGGGTACTGCAGCGCCTCTGCTCTGTACCCCTTTATCTTGTACAGTAGGAGAGGCAGCATTATGACTGTCGGTATCCAAAACCCTTTACCAATTTTTATTCTCTTAACTTTCCCATCAATTTAGAAATGTGTATCCTTAGTATTTCCAACTAAGATCTGTTTATTCTACTGAAACTTTTGTTTGTTCCTTCTGTGTGCTGTAAGCATTACAGCTCATTGCCTCCCCAGAACCATGTCCTCCTTTCCCCATAGGCTGGATCCCTCTCTCCTAGGTCTCCATCCTTCACATCTATTAGAAGGACTGCCCCTCTTTGAGGATGTCTCGTTAAGGCTTGCCTGCAGGGAGCTCACAGCCCTTGTGCTGCTCTTCTTCCTCCACACCTCACAACACTTCTGTTTTAAAGGGCCAGGACACTTAGCTGACCTCACTGTGACATTGCAGAAAGTGTAAGAGCCCCTGCAGATGATGACCTTTTAGGGTCCCTGGAGTGGCTTCTACTCACATGTTTAATGTGTTTTTAAATTAGTAACAAGCTTCTCAGGTGTGAACAGTGTCCAGATGGGCTGGACTATAGCTTAATGATAGAGTGCTTGCCTGACGTGCATAAGGACCAGGGTTTTATCCCTAGCACTGAAAGAAGATGTCTTGGGCTAGGCGATGGTGGAAGAAAAGATGTCTTAAGTATATTATCAGACTTGCTGGTAGTCCACGTGTGTGGCCATCTCTGTTGGATTTGTTTCTTTTCTAGGTGTGGAGTGAAGTTAACCAGGCTGTTCTGGATTATGAAAATCGAGAGTCCACACCCAAGCTGGCAAAATTACTGAAACTGCTACTTTGGGCTCAGAATGAGCTAGACCAGAAGAAAGTAAAATATCCCAAAATGACAGACCTCAGCAAAGGTGTGATTGAGGAGCCCAAGTAGAGCCTGTGCAACGGACCCAGCACTGTCAAACAGCACAGGACTCATTCCCTTCTAGCTGTGACTGGCAAATTTGTCACTGCAGTAGAGAACCTTTTCCCCCTGTAATTTTCTTTGGCCCTTATTGTTTAAAAAGGGGAAATGGCCTTTTTAAACACTAGGAAACCCATGATGGAAGACACCACCTCTGCCTTGCCCTGCATCCCGAGGGTTGCACACTGCAGTTGACTCTCCCAGTGCTTCCGGTATTGCTGACCCTAGAAGATCTGGTTTGCCAGATGTGTGCTGCGCTGCTAGGGAGTGTCACTCCAACCGGCGGCTCATGCTCAGTCTATGAAAAGCACTGACGTCCTTTTGCTTTCTGCTAGTGTGCGAGCAGGCAGTGTTTATTCTCCTGGGTCTTCATAGACTTTCTTCAAGATTTTCTTCTTTTCTCTTTTCTTCCTCCTCTTTTTGTTCCTGCATAGGAAAGAATATATAAATTTGTAAATCTTAATTCAAAGATAACTTGTGTGTGGGTATTGAGTTTGGTTTAGTTCTTTACCTTTTGGTTTGAGCTGTGTGGCTTTTGGGAGGGGATATGTATGTGTGTGCGTGAGGGATGAGGCTGTGTTTTCTTAATTTTTTAAATATATTTTTTTGGTGCTGTATGTGATGAGAGACTCATTCATAGTGAATCAATGAACTATCTCTTGTAGGCAACTTTGTTGAAAATAAAGATTTCTCTCTACTTCCAGAATGACCACCATGGCCTCTAAAGAGTTCTCATCCACGCAGCCCTTGTTTGGGTGTCCTTCCCCTGTTGGCACAGGGACAGCACCTGTACTCGTAGCTGAAGAGTCCGTCTACCTAGGGAATGCCCTTCATGACAGCATGGCAACTGGGTGCTGGTAGGGGTGGCTGGGTGGTCATAGCCAGTTTGGTCTTCTTTCTGCTTGACAAAGTAGCTTCTCATCTTTTGCTTGTATGCCGGTAGTGCTGCAATGTCTGCTTCTCACGAGCTGTTTCCTCCTTAGTGGAAGACTGGGGGACATTATCTTTGAGGTCACTGCTCCAAGTGTTGAGCGTGTGCATGTGTCATGCCGGGTGCAGGTGTGTTTTGTTGATCCTTGGCAGCGGCCCAGGCCCGATGGGCATTTTTGGAGCAATGCTTAAGGCTGGGGTAGGGATGGGGTGCACAGATCTGCAGAGCCCTCACGGTTATCTGTGAATGTGGAGATGGTATGGGCGCCGTCCTTTGCTGGGAGCTCTTCCCTGTCTGACACCAGAGCAGAGAGTTCCGGTGCCTGGTGCTCACAAGCAGTGTCCCTGCTGACTGCTGAGTTGGGATTGTTCGCCTGGATCTTGAGCAGTGCAGTGCACACTGACCAGCTAGGTCAGCCAGGGTTTGTTCAGCTTGCTGTCACCTGAGCAGCAAGGTGACACAACTAACCAGCAGTCTCGTGTCCCTACTTGAGTGTTGTTCATTGGCATCTGTTTTTCTCCCACAGGAGACTTTCCTTGTTGGGATGGAGTGGAGAGTCTTCCAGCTCTCTGCTTTCGGATCAAAAGGCAGGTGCTTTGGCAGTATTCCTCTCAGGATCCCATTAGTAACAGGATCAAGGATGCAGTTGTTGCTGCTCTCCTGGTTTGTGAGTGAGGAGTGAGCAGACCTCCCCTGACCTCCTAGACAAATGTCCTTCGGCGTCGCCAGGTTTGAGGATAAGAATAAGATAGAAGGAGTTACTGGAGAGATGGGTCCTTGGTTAAGAGGACATGACGAATAGTCACGAGGACCAGAGTCTAGCATCCACGTAACAAGTCATGTGTCTCCCAGCTCTGAGGCCTCCATATACACAGACATGCAGGCACATGTGTGTACTTTCACAAACACAAAATATTTTTTTTTAAGGTAGAGGGAAAGGAAGATTTAATTTTCAGGTAGTAAGTTAAATGAAGCAGTGGCTGGGGCGGGGTATCAATAAAGATGCAGTGTTTGTTTTTAAAGCACCATATAAAGCTAGGTGTGGTTGCTCCTGCCTGTAATTACAGCATTCATGAGACTGAGGGAGAATTTTTCCAGTTCAGCCTAAGCTGTATTATGTATGAGATCCTCTTTTAAACAAACAAACAAACAAGCACCAGAAAACTAATCTTTTGTTAATATGTATAAGGTCTTTCTTATAGCTAATGAGTTTGATATGTTCTGAAAATGAGAGGGCACGAAATGTATAATAAAGACAGGTTTCTTCTGTAGGGCTAGCCACATACACACAGGCTTGTTTCTTCTGTAGGGCTAGCCACATACACACAAAAGAGGCTGGTTTCTTCTGTAGGGCTAGCCACATACACACAAAAGAGCCTGGCTGCATGTATGAAATGTTAGACAGCTCTAAGACATAAATCTTAACCACTTCAGTCAGTAGCTTAATCAGCCAATGTCACAGATGTCAAGTGAAGCTGGAGGACTTCAAATAGAACTGCTTATTTATCCATGATCTGCCAGTGTCCAGAAATCCTCTTCCAAGGGGGTACATGTAGACTCTGTTTCAGCAAAAAATGAAGTTAAGTTACTTGCATGCAGGATAGATTAGTTTTTTTCTACTTGTCTCCTTTGTGTCTTACTCAAAAGAATTGTTTTTGGCTTTTTACAAAGTAGCTTTATTTCTTTTTGCACCTTTTGATGGAAAGTGCCTTGAAATAAATGGAACTTGAGAATATTCTGGTGCTCAGTTCCAGCATCATAGAATTGTGCAAGGAGTAACCCCAGTTTGAAATCTCCTAAAGCATGGTGATTATTGCACACTGAAGATGTGGGGTGTATTTCTAAAGCATGGTGATTATTGCACACTAAAGATGGGATGTACTTCTAAAGCATGGTGTTCATTGCTCACTGAAGATATGGGGTGTATTTCTAAAGCATGGTGTTTATTGCTCACTGAAAATGGGATGTACTTCTAAAGCATGGTAATTATTGCACACTGAAGATGGAGTGTATTTGTTTTGTCACTTGAATTATAGCTCAGAGTTGGTATTTGAGACTTCGGTAGTGTATGTACCAGAAAAGTAGTGCCTTGAGGTCGGGCCTGCCGACCTGGTGGGCAGTGTGATGTCTTTATTTTCTTCTGTGCCATAGTTTAGAGAGGAGGAATCAGGGTTCCCAAAAGACTCTTAACTTGTTCCATGATAAAGACACTGATGTCATCAAGAGAATGAAATGGGAATGGGATTTCTTTACGGGTTGTTGCTCTCTGGTCTCAGAATGAACAAAAGACCAAATCCCAAGTGTCACGTGAACAGCATGGTCTGTCCACACCCCTGCATCTGCACACTGAACTGTGTGCAGTGGACACCACGCG